GAGAAAAGGATTTGAATATCATGGGATAAAGTTTAGGGCGGTGATTGGCGAATATCGTGTATTCAACTTACATTTTAAATTTAAAAGATTACGTAAGATTTTTTATAATCCATGGATTATATAAGATTTATGGATTGTTTTAATTCTAAGTAGACTTCAATAGATTTCAATCTATTTTTCTATAAAGATTTATCAAGATTCTAATGAATTGTTCTCAGCCCAAATTGGTTAAAAAAGAAAAAAAATAAAAAAGGAGACCAAAGGCTCTGGTTCGCCGTCACAAAGCCGGCCCCAAGCTGCCTCCTCCCATCCCGCCGTAGATGATGGAGAGGAGCCCTGTCAACGGAAAAAATCGGCAATTCACGAGGCGATTATGCACAAAGCCAATTCATATAGCAGCAAAGTAGCATGAAAATAGAAGTAAGAACCAGATCTTCAAAATCCAAAAAAATCCGTCAGAATTCTAATTGAATACACCCCCTTAAAACTGTTTTTTGTAAATACTTGTAAGCAATTGGTTCTAAGGGTTGGTTGAGTTGGCTGTTTTGATTAATATATTATAGATAAAAAAACTGTTTGGCAAAAATTAGTTTTTTTAAATAGCTTTTGTAAATTAAATTTAATAAAATTTTGGGATTTTCTCTCATCTTTATATATAAAATTTGAAAGTTAGGCTTTTAGAATTGTTACATGTGGCATGCCTATTGGACATTTTTTGGACATGTCAGCATGTCATGTCGTTGAAGTAATATTTTGAAGAATTAGTTAAACAAAAAAACTTATTTTATGGAAATTAAATTTCGTATTTGTTACACATAAGTTTCTAAACATAATTATGTTTTAAAAAATTTATATTTTAATTCATTATTAGAAAATATTTCAATTAAATAATATATTTTAAAACTGAAAAAAAGAACTCATATTCAAAAACAATAATAAAAACAAATAAATTTATTCTACGAACAGATAGATTGGTACGACTAAAATATATTACATGTGAATATTAGTATTTGCTTTGAATTAATACTAATTGGAGAAAGTTTTCATTTTTTTAAAAAGAGAAACAAATATATAAAAGGAAAGAGATTTTTATGGGCATGTTTACTTAATAGAGCATTTTTATTCCGTATATATTTAAAAAAAATCAAGTCAAATTAAAAGTATGTTCCATTAAAATATTATTATTTTCCATTTCAAAATTATTTTCCTTTGCTAATATTATAAAAATTCATAGATTCATGCCCCAAAATTATTATTTTCTATAAATAACTTTGTAAAATAATGAAAATTTGGTACGGGGATAGTTATGCGTAAGAAACTAATTATTAATTGGTATTTCTAATCGAAATATTTATGGTATAATGATAATTGTTATAAGTGGAATTACTTTTAACTAAAATTCTTGAAAAATATAAAACGTGCTTATTTTGATCGACATCTATGTCAAAACAATGTAAATAGTAATATTTTTTCTTATTTATTTGCCGGACAATCGATAATAATGCAACAAATATTAGTGGATAATAAAAAAAATTTATTAAAAGTTTCTAGATTAAAATTACAATACTTATTTTATAATATGAATTTTGAAAAACTCTTTGAGGTGTTTGCTTTTGAATTTATATATAATAATTTTTATAACCAAATATTAAATGCTAAATAATTTATTCTACTATGATTATTTTTTCCATAGTGTTAAAGAACACATTACATTTATTTTTATAAATTCATTTAAAATATTACATTAAAGATAATTTACAGAATTGTCAAAAATTTCATTTGACCTCGTACATGACACGGGTTAGAATACTAGTCTTATCTTATATCTTAAATTCAATTGGTACATTTAGCTTTTTATTTTATTTGATAAAAGGAATATTATATTTTTGTATTAAAAAACCATTACTTTAATTATGTTGTGTATAACACCTTTTGTTTTTTAATTAACATACCGATATATATTTCACCACTTTAAAAAATATTCTGATTACTTAAATTATATCTAAATAAGTATTATTTAAACTTTGTCAATATTTTGAAAAGTAAATTTATACGGAGTATGATTTTATAAAAGTAATTTATCATTTCTCTTTTAGTATTTTAAACAAAATATTTAGAGAATTTTTAGTGTATGTACATAAATATTTAAACTATAGTTTCTATTTAAAATAAGATACAGAGTATATCTTAGAATGTCACTATTAGAAATCTAAAATAACTAAAATTATATTTGGAGAATGTCAAAATTTAGAATGTATACGAGCACGTGCGAAGCATGGGGTTAACACTAGTATATATGTAAAGTTGAGTGTGTTGGTTATGGTGTTGATATGTGGCATGCCACATGTACATCCACATGTGTACTAATTAATGAGTTGGATGCTTTTCATTGGTTCAATAAGTTTTTTTAAAGATATTTTAATATAATTTATTATATTATATTAAATAAATATTATTTTTTAGCATTAAAAACATTACTCTGATTATATTTTGTATAAAACTTTAATATTTTCTAACAATTCTATAAATATATATTCCACTATTGTTCGGGGATCCCAAACCACAGGATAGTTTTAAAAAAGGGGTACCAATTATGTTACTAAGGAACATTGACCAAACATCTGGATTGTGTAATGGTACAAGATTAATTGTTGACGAGATGCGTAAGAATGTTATTGGTGCTATTGTGGTTTTGGAAAATCGAGTGGGCGAAAAATTTTACATATCCCGGATGAATTTGGTTCCGTGATCCAGGACTACCTCTAAAGTTCAAGAGAAGACAATTTCCAATAGTCTTATGTTTTGCTATGAATATAAACAAAAGTCAAGGTCAAACATTGTCATTTATTGGATTACTTTTAACCAAGTCAGTGTTCATTCATGGTCAGCTTTATATTGCTGTTTCGCGAGTGAATACAAATATAGGATTAAAAATATTAGTCTTAGATGACAATGGAAATCCTTGCAGCCATACAAAAAATGTTGTATACCTTGAAATCTTTAGAAAAATTTGGTATTAAAGCAATATTTGTTGTGTGTAGATTCAATTCCTCAAATATTATTTTTTTACTTTGCCTTTCTTTTCTGTGTTATTATAAATCATGCATGAGGTATATATTTCCTTTATTCCGGAAAAAATATTGCATTGAATAAATTCAGAATCGACAAGATATTCGTCCGAACCCGTGCATTGCACGGGCAGGAATACTTGTAAATATTATTTTTTAGCATTAAAAACATTACTCTGATTATATTTTGTATAAAACTTTAATATTTTCTAACAATTCTATAAATATATATTCCACTATTGTAAAATTTACTCCGTATTTTAAATATGCATATTGATTGTAAAATTTTAAAGAAGAGTATGTATAAAACTCTTTATTATTAATTTAAAAATATTTCACTTTCATAAAAATAAAAAAACATTTCACATTCAAACATATTAAATTGTTTTTGGCATTTTTATATTTTATTTCATGTAATATTTGTTTTATATAAAATAGTTATAGAATTTTTAGTGTATGTACATCAATATTTAAAGTATATTTTTTATTTAAAAAATATACTCTGTATATCTTAGAGTAAAAAAATATTTATTTAAAATAAATAAAATTATATTTATAAAATGTCAAAAGTGTAGAATGTATATGAGCACGTGCAAAGCATGAGATTAACACTAGTTGAACAAAGAATTTAAGAGGACAAGGAGATGAATACTGGAACAAAGTTGAATAGAGGATTTCTGTATACATACAAATTACAAAGTAATATAAAAACAAAGGTATACGCCCAATGTTAACGGGTTTGGACAACTTCTCTCCTGGGTAGGTGAGGCCAAATTCTGTCCTGGGCTAGTACACGCCCCATGTTAACGTGTTCGTCGCTTGGCTAGAGAAGATTTTCAACCTCTTCAACCAGAGAGATCAGACATTGGTGTTTCATGTCTTGTGCTCAATATGGAGGACCCGAAATGATAGAGTTTGGCGGAGTAGAAACTCGACCCCAATGGTCAAGACCACGTGATGAATTTGTGAAGGTTAATATTGATGCATCCACAGGCTTGGTTGATGATACGATGGGAGTGGGTTTCATTGCTCGTAGTGACCTTGAAACATTTTTGGTAGGTAGGAATATATCTTTCACGGCAACTATGGTCCCAGGGAGGAATATATCTTTCAGGAGTATATCGAAAATGAGTATTTAGTAATTTGAAGATGAGTATTTACGTGAATGTAAGCGAAACATCACACATCGAGATGTATGACATAGGTACGCGTCAGATAATATCCTTTGAAGCCCTGGTTCAATCATGTGTGATGATGAATAATGTATCTTTACAGCATTTTTGTTTGGAGTTCTACAACATTTTAGATTTTAATCTTGGAACTTTGGTTTAATTGGGTTCAATCTATTCGGTCTGGACCGGTTCAGTCTTTAAGATTTCGATCCATTCGGTCCAAAATCAAACTCTACACAACAATATAATTTTCATTATTTATTGACAAATTTATAAATCACTTTATTTGTGTCTTTTTCAGTACTTAATTAATTATTAATTAATTAATTCTAATAGGCCTATTTTCGAGGCGTTACATATTAACTATACATAATTCATAAATTGTTAAGGATCTATAAAAAAAACTTTTAATGTTTGAATTAAATACACATCTTTAATTAGAAAAAACCATTTTGGAAAGATACTTTATTAAAAATGATCAATTTAAGAATTTATTCTATATTTCATTGATAAGAATACTAAAATAATCTTCAATTAATCATTATTTGAGTAACATGACTTAAGAAAAAATAATAGAGAATAAATTTCAATTTTAGAAGATTTCGTAGTTAATTAAAAGTTAATTAAAAGTGATTGATGATTAATTTGGTAAAATAGAAAAATTCTTTTAAAAATTTACTTTTTTTTTTTAATTTAACCAAATATAATACTCCGTAATACTTTTGGGGGGGATAGCCGGATAGGAGCCGCAGGTAGTAGAAAAAGATTTCCCAGCCACACTCATCCATCGCCGTCCCCGTCGCCAGAGTCTGCAGCAGCCAGCAGCCATCGCCGTATCCGTTGCTCTCACCAGATCCTGCGCCGTTGTCTTCACGCCGTACCGCCGTCCTGCCGACGCCGTCCCAGGCGTTCGCCATCCCAGTCCTGCAGGCCTGTTCCACCCGCCGTCCCCTTCCCCCCACGAATTTCCAGCCTTGGGTAATTATTTTTTTGCTTGAATTATGTTATGTGTTTCACACTAGTTTTCTCGTTTGTTCGAAGTATTGCGTTAAGGGTAGTTTTATTTAGCTTAAATTTCAGTTAAAAAACTTGTCCCAGGCGGCTTGTGCTCTTCTCTCTCATCTGAATCGATAGCAGCAATTCCTGCACAGAAAAGCATCAAGAAGAAGCAAACGGCTTAGCAGCTGTGAAGCCAGAGCAGCTGCTGAAGGCTGTGTAGTGAGCAAACACAGCAGGAGGGCTTGCAAAGGGTAAAACCCTGATTTAGGCATTCTTTCTTCTTTCCTGGCTATTTTATTGTTTTTACAGTACTTTGTGTTGAATTAGAGTATTGAACTTAATTTTTTTATAGCCGATAGAATAGAATTGTGGAAAGACACGGGTTGGCTAGGGAAAGATCCATCTACTGGCCTTAGGAACACCAGATTTTAGAAACTCAAATGCTCTTGAGAGCAATTGTTGAAAAGGGAAAGACATGGATTGGCAAGGGAATGTTCCATCTACCTTCTTTTTAGATTTTAGAAATTCAAATGCTTTTGAGAGCAATTGTGGAAAACAAAAAGGAACCTTTACCAGTTTACCTTTGTGTAAACCAAAGACTTGAAGGTATTATTTTCCAAATAAAAAAATGAAACTCAAACAACTTTAAACTCTCTTAAATTCTGCTGGACCAATTGAGAGAGCAGAAAAGTTGTGGTGTGAAGGCTGAGATCTTTAAAACGCACCATCAAACATAGGATGACACCTACACATAAAAAGTTGAATTTAGAAAACACAATGCAAATGATGAAAAATGTCTTAAAAACATTTTAAGTGGGAAGTTCAGTTTTGCACATAGTTACAGAATTCGTTTACCTAGCCATGATTTCCGAATTGGTACGAATCGTACCGGATTGCAAGTCGCCGGCAATCCGATCGCCACCGGTACGGCACTCCAATTCGCAATTCGCCGGCGATCCAGATGCCCTAGAACGTTGCACCAAGTCGGAGAATATGGAGTACCAATCGCCGGCGGTCCAGCGATCCAAATCGCAATTTCGTCTCTCCCGCGACCTTCCCTCTTCCAAGCGATTGTTCTCTCCGTAAATTGAAAAGGTCAATTCGCGATTGCACTTCCCCAAGTTCCGTGCGAGTCGTTCATAGGCTCCGTGCGTTTCTCGATTGTTCTCTGACTTCTCCCCTTAATGTTTCGTTTTTTCCTAGGCAGTCTCCAAATATAGGGCCCAAAATATGTCTCTCAAGTCTAACCAGTAACCACAACCCAATCTAAAGTCCTAAATATCCAGTAATTTTTTCTCTCTTTTTTCAATGGCTTTTGGCAAAAATTATAAAGCCCATAATTCTCAAGATGATAGTAACAGTGAGTCCCAGATTAGCAACACCCAAACTTATGTTTTGACTTTTGGTACACCGAACCGAATACATGGTACACCGTACCGCTTCGTACCACTTCGTACCGAAATGAACCTACCCCCCTTCGTACCGAATTCGTTACCTCTAGCGAATTTCGTACCCGTACCGCGTACCCGTACCGAAGCGTACCGCGATTTATGTGACTATGGTTTTGCAAGTCCGTTTCTAGTTGACCAATTTTTTTTCAGGCTTTGTGCTATATGTACTTCAAATGCTATCTAATGTAATTTTGATCCATCACTAATTCAAGACAGATAGATGACTCATGAACCCGATAAGTGTCTTGTAGTCTTCTTGTGTCTAGTTTTAAATTAAGAACTGTTTCATAGTTCTTAAATAGTAAGTGTTTCTTTTGTGCATAACTATTTGCCATCAATTCTATATTGTTAATTGTTCAGGGGGGCTAACTATGTTTGTTACAATAATAAAGTCTTTGTGCAGTTTTAAAGACAAGGCAGCATTACCTAAAAGCAAAACAAAGGATGTGGATGCTTTTGGACATTTACAGCCATTATGCTTTGGCTTGTGAGTTGTGAAATGCTTTAACCGGAAACATGCCCTCTACTTTTCCCTGGGATATTCTCTTTTTGCTTTCCTAATATAAAGAAAGGTCCGCAATTTTACTTGATCCTATATTGGGAACAATGCTCTACATTTAATTCCATTGAGTAGAAAAGGGATCTCGTATTGGGCATGTGATTGCCATTGTTTTTTTTATGTTTTCAATGATTTGACTCATATCCAACAAAACTGGATGATTGATATGCAACATTGATATAAACAATTTGTCAATGGAAACTAACTTTATGTTTTGAATGAATTATCTGGAGGTGTGTAATACTTGTATTAGGCGTGTTCTAAAGTATTTTAATTGATACCCAATAGGATTCTTTATGTATAGCTTTCAATATGTTCTTAATGATGTGTCATCAAGTTTATCAGTTTTTGTGACAAAATTGCCTTGTTTGTAAATGGACACAACTTTTACAATACATCTTCTTCATGTGATTTTGTTTACCACAGTGAGGTGTCTTGACGAAACACAGTAGTACAATATGATTGCCTTCAGAAAACTATTTTTTGAGTAACCGTAGTTTGAAATAGATCATCAAAGTACTATTAAATGCAGTAGTTTTAAATTAGTTTACACTAGTTTGGATAAAAATAGTAGTGTGTACAATTGCTTCCAGACAATTGTTCCTTTAGAAATAGTAGTCTTATTTAGAATGTCAAAAACTGTTGTCTTAACTTAATTTACACCATTGTTTCTAAAAATTATAGTGAGTATGATTTTCTCAACTTTTTTTCAAGAACAAAAGTCTAAAATACCATGTCAAACCACTATTTTGAAAGAGTAGCCCTAACTTAGTATATACAACCGTGGCAACAAAAACAATATTTTGATATAACACAGACTCTTCCATAGTCACCTAAATTGCGGTACGTTTCGGTACGGGTATGAAATTTGCTAGAGGTGACGAATTCAGTACGGGGGGGAGGTTCATTTCGATACAAAGCGGTACGGTGGTATTCGGTTCGGTGTACCAAAAGTCAAAACATTAGTAAACAAAAACAGATAAGATGAGCATAAATGCAACATTACAAGATCCAATATAAAAACAAGTGTGTGTGTGTGTGTTCAATAGCTTCAAAAACAAGAATAACGTTTCTGATTGTTCAACAGCGTCAACTTCATCATCAACATCAACATAAATGTGTGTGTTGCTAATATGGGTCCCACTATCATCTTGAGTATTATGGGATTTATATTTTTTGCCAAAAGCCATTGAAAAAAGAGAGAAAAATTGAAAGTAGAGGAATAAAGGTTGGGTTGTGAATGGTGAGTGTGCAGTGCTTAGTGTGTGTGTGTTTGTGTGTGTGTATATATTCGTATAATATTTAATTGTAAATTGAATTTTGAAATAAATATTAAAGGAATTATTTTTTAAATAAAACATTGGAAAGTGGAATTCTCAATACGTGCATGGGAAGTGGGACCTACTCAATTTATGTACGTCTGGGAACAAGAAAGTCACCAATTGAAATTTCACCCCCAGAGAACTTGTGATTCCTTATTCTACTCCATCCCATCTAATGAATTCCATGAGATAAACAGAGACTCTGTTAGCCATGTGTCACTGCCTAGGTTTCTTTATTTGGTCACTCACAGATGCACATGGCCATTTATTTTCGCAATTTGTCTTACCTTACTCACCTTATTTGCCCAATTGGAGCAATTACTGAGAACCTGTATTGAGTTCTGAATCTTGACCTTAAAAAAAGATTTCTTTGTTTTTAAAGTTGGAGCGTGCTCATAATTTCACATGTATAGGGAGGCTAAAGCTAAGAGGGAAGTGGCCGGTGTTGGCGGGGATGAATAGTGTTTTCAGTGAAGTGATACTTGCAGACAAGCTCTCCAAGCTCAACAACAGTCAGCAGTGCATTGAAAGTAAGTTTCTAATGTTTTCATTTTCGTGATGTTTGGCTCATGCTGCATTCATTGCAGCTCCTTTAACATGGTTTCATTTCCCTTTTTCTGTTAATTCGCTACTTTGAGTGGCAATTTGAATTCCCATGTAGTGGAATTATGCATTAGGATTTTTATTCCATGAGCCAGTGACTCTAGTTTTTTCTCCTTGATTACAGCAATTAATTAAAAAAACTCAAGTTACCGTGTTTAATCAGTGTCTATGCTTATAATAAGTTTAAGGGGGTGTATTCAATATAGATTCTGTAGGATTTTTTTTGTATTCTAAGAGTCTATGGATATTCAATTATGATTTTTAAAAGTCATTTAAACTCTCAGGATATTCAATTAAGATTCTAAAATGTCCTTCTAAATTTGATAGCATTGAAAATTCTATGGATTTAATAAGATTTTTATTAATGATGAATTGTGATGGATTTTAGGTGTGTAGTATAAATAGAAATCCATAATACAAATCTCTCTACTAAAGATTTTGAGTCAAGGGTTGAATCTGAAAAGGAGAAGCATGATGGTGGGAGACCTTTGAGTCTAGGGTTATTTCTTGAAACTAGCTGCTAGACTGAGCTAAATAGGGGGTGCGAACGGGATGACTTGAGTTGGGGAAAGCTACTTCACTTCTGCAATTCATGCCAACATCTTCTGCGATTTTGCTATCTAAGGCGGAATGAAGGACGAGAATATGTTTCGGAGAAGCAATATTGAACATTAGATGCAGGCCAATCCGCTAGGATAAGAGATTGGGAGAATGACACGTATGAAATCTGAACACTCGAAGAAGAAGATAAATGGACGTAGGGATAAACAAATTTGATTTTTATTCTGAACGGTTGTTAGTTCATCATTAATCAATTTTGAAATTTTAAAAGACTTGAATCTTGGTGGCAGCGACTCAATGCTGGTGGTGTGGTAGCTGAGCGGACAGAGAAAAGAAAGGAGGAAAAGAGAGACAACGGCTAGGGTTCCTGCGGAGGAAGAAGGAAAATAAAGAAAAAAGGAAAACATAATCCATGGATTATAAACAATTTTCCACAATCCTATAAAATCCTGCTGAAAAAATACATTAAAATTTATCTAACTCTGCGGAGATTGAGACTTAAAGTAATCCATTGAATTCACAGAAGCCATGGATTCTAAACAATCTATCAGAATCTTTTAAAATCTAGATAGAATACACCCCCCTTAGATCATATTTACTGATTACCCACTTCGGCACATCCTTTTGTCTCGTTTTATTCTCCAATAAACACATATCATGTGTGATTTATATCGAAATGTTCCATTCCCTTATTTCTATTAGCGTTTATTTATTATGACAATGTGATGAAAGTTTAATTTTTTTTGGCCTTTTTAACTCATATATTCCGTTACCACGTCAGGTTCATGCACTTATTTGCATGAGCATGCAATCTTTGCTTTACCTTTGTAGCCTAAGATATTAAGTAATGCCAATCAATTCTTATCATAATTGTATTAAGAATATGATAATTCATTGTATCAGGTGCTCTTGAAAATTCGTTGATCATGGCATGTCTGGGCTGCTCTAAGCCCCAATTTTGTTCATTTATTTGATACTTTTTCCTATGTTGGTTTTAGTGTGGGGATGTTTAACTGAACGGTCTCCAAGGTGATATCTTCTTGTCTAGTCATACATGAGTATAATATTGGGTTGCATAATCAAAAACCTGTGTTCTAAAAAGCTAGGTAGCTTTGTGGTGGTAGACTGGGGCTTAACCCCTAGATAGGCTTAGTTGGGCCCTAGGCTGAGCAGGAATAAATGAAAAAGGTAGGTGGGCAGACGGTCATGGGAGACCAATCACCTAAGTGGGGCCTAGATGGAGATTTTTAGAATATTGATTCAAAATCCGACGGGCGGTAGATTTGCATCACATATTTTGTTTTTATTGAAATGTTTATTTTTTACAGTAGATATGATACACGATAGGGCGCAATGACGTCGTTTGATCCATGTAGCCAACCCCACATAGTGGGATAAAGCTTTGTTATTGTTGTTTATTTTTTACAAGAAGTTGCAACACGTGCATTTATAAGATAACCAAGAAAAAAGAAGGGCTACAGGTTATACTATTACAATTTTTTGGACAAGTTTATTGAGATATAAAGCTTGTTTAGTCTCACTTTTACTCATTTGAATATATTTCTAGGGTCTTATAATTTTAAAAGGTCTTGGTTTGGTCTAATAAATTCATTTCATAATTACGTAGTACAGACAATCATCATTGTTTTTTACTTTTTTTATATGAATACTTTGGTATGAAGTTCAGGTTTAAAAGTACATATAATGGACTTCTCTTTTGCATGAGTGCATGATTTGCTGAGTGATAAGGTTTACATCATGAAGTTTCAACTAGATTTTGCTTCTATGCGCATAATTTCTAAAGCTTGTAAGGGGTTCTGTGAGATATTTGGTGCTGGATCAGTTCCATGCCATTTTTTTTCTCAATATATCTTCACAAAGCGTCTTACCGAATGTTTTTTCATGATTGGGGATACATCTTAGCATTTGTTATTTTAACATTCAATGTAGCATTGTCCCATTGGTGTATTTTCCACCGGAGCAAAGCAGAGCAGGTAGCTGCAACATGGGATAAGCAATTCAAGAGTTCTGAGATGGTCCTTAAAGTCCCACTTCTTTATCTTGCTAATGATATACTACAGAACAGCAAGCGGAAAGGAAATGAGTTTGTCACAGAGTTTTGGAAGTTTCTTCCTTCTGCAGTCAAAGATTTGGTGGAGAATGGTGATAGTAGTGCAAAGAATGTAGCCTCTAGATTGGTATGTGTCATTCTTTTTTAACTTATGCCTTTTTTGTTATCTAGATAGGGCGTCTTGTTATCTATGCACATTCTTGCAACTTGGTGATGGACTTACCTTTTTGATAGCTTTTGTTTTTGTAGCTCCTGTATTAGTATTTACCTGTTTACATGTTTGTTCTGGCATATACTTTATGTTATTTTCATTCCTTACGCGCATGGATTTTGTTCCTGCTCCCATGAATTTGTTTTCCGTTATTTTAATTAATGCAATTATGTTTTTAAAAAATGCATACCCAACTTTAAATGAATGAATGGACGTGAACCAATTGCTGAAAATGATATAAAAACCGAAGCCAATCTACAATATTCTTTTTTTAAATGTGTGTAAATTTCAAGGAACCAAGATGCCCAATAATTGTTTATGAATATGACATGCTTCATTGACTGGTTAAATGGTTGATAGGTTAAAATATGGGAAGAGAGGAAGGTTTTTGGATCTCAGGCTAAGAGCCTTAATGATGTTATGCTTGGGAATGAATTGCCCACACCATTGCAATTTCACAGGAAAAGGTCTCGTTCTGTCAAGATATTGAAAAGGGATTCAAGGTCCATAAGAACGGTGAGGTTTTCAAGTTTTTCTTTTCCCACCCTCTGTAGTGCAGCTTATACCTGGTTTATCTTATACTGTATATTCGAAGTGTTATTGACATTATTGTTCTCATTAAACTTGAAAACCAGAAATTGTCAATTGGAGGACCAGCTGAAAAAATAGTGTCAGCACTTCACTTGGTGCTTAGTGAGATCACCAATGAAGAGGAAGAAATGAGTAAATGCAAGTCTGCGGTCCTCAGAATAAGAAAGATTGAGAAAGATGTTGATACAACCCTTACAACAGGTAGACTGCCTAGTCCATTATGAAACCAGCGTTGATATTAAGCTGCTAATGTTTTCTTAAGCTACTGTTTATTTTGAGTGTCAAATAATTCAGCTGTTTTTAGAGGGGTATCGTATTACTTTGTTTGCATGCAATGGTATTTGCATTCTAACGTGGTCCGGCGATTTTCTCCATTTTCATCGCACAGCAAGTGATCCAAACAGAAAGACATTGTCAAAAAAGCTTGAGGAGGAAGAAAATGCATTGAAGAAATGCATTGAGAAACTTAAAGTAGTTGAAGCAAACAGAGCTACTCTTGTGTGTCGGTTAAAAGAAACGTTAAATGAACAGGTAACTGGGTAGCCAAAAATAATGTCAAATTTTCTACTCCTGCATCTCTTGGAGATGAAGCTAAATGGATCATTTTCACAATGTTTTAGCTTTGGATAATTAATGGACTAAATGAACTTTGATCCACCAACGGATCAAGGGTCTAATTGTAACATTTTGGGATTATACTGGGTTTGTTGTAGTTGTAATGTTAAATTCTTTTCCAGTTTTCCACCCAATCAATAGTAAAATTTTTAAGAATATGTTTTCAGGAATCTGAGCTAGAGAACGTTCGCACTCAGATACAGGTTTGTTTTCCAAACCAATACAATCTTTAGTTTTCGGTCATCTCCATCGGTTACGACCCTTTTGAAGATTCACTAACTTTTTTATACATACGCAATTGATTTTTCAGGTCGCGCAGGCTCAGACAGAGGAATCTAGGGACATGCGGAGACATTTAGACGATGAAAGTTATGTGGCGGATTCAAAGCCTTCAACAACAACGGCTGAACTAAGTGCCAAAGATGGGAAAAAGACAGCTGCAGCAATTGCAGCAGAGGTCGCAGACAAGCTCACAGCATCCACGTCTTCTCAGTATATCATGTCATCAGTTCTCTCCACATTTGCTGCTGAGGCAGCAAAGAACGCCGGGCACACGAATGCCTCTCCGGCGGCGTTCCCATTAACGCCGCCGCTGCCAACACCCACCATCAATACGGCAAACTATTCGCTGCCAGTGTCAGAAAGACCCCTTCCTGTTATTATGCCTTCACAGCCGGCGAACCCACCACCTCCTCCTCCTCCTTACCAATCGGTGCTGGTTTTGCAACACCCAACAATGCAGCAGCAGCAGAGCCATCACTTCCATTCACTTCCTCCAAACCCACCACCCCCCATGCAGACATATATTCAGCAGCCATCAGGTGGCATTGTTGGATCATATGGCTACCCTAGGATCCCATCTTCCTCATTCTTGGTTCCCTTGGCCCAGCCACCACCACCACCACCACCACTGCAGCAACATCTAACAATGCCTCACCAATCACCGGCACTGCAATTACCTCAACATATGCCTCCTCTTCCTACCTTCAATCCATTATTACATAGGTAAAACGCTTGAGGTAATTTATAAGCTTTGAGTTGTCTAATTGTGAAGCAAGCGTTCGTTCATGTGAGATCGATCTCCCGCGCGCCCCATGTGTTGTCATACTTGTTGCTCTAGGCCTTGTAGTTGTTTTTTTTTCCTTAAATATTTCTCTTGTGTAAAATCATATGGATGGTGGTTAGGGCCATTTGCAATTTTGAATTGATAGAATAACAAATTCGAGTGAAATCAATCCTAATCAAGAGTCATTTCTTCAACCCACATCATGTTTGTGTATTATGTAACTAGTACGACACATGTATGATGCACGGCAAAAACATTAAAAATGTTCCTCCATTCCTCTCACCCGTTGTTTATGAGGTTTTTCTGAATATTTTTTCAATTCATTTTATTTAAAAATTGGTATAGAATTAAAAAATATCGTAGAATTTATTTATTTGAAAACTACATTTAAAATTCTTAATGTTTAGAGGTTACATGATTATATTATTTTATTAAATGAGTAAAGAACATGGTTATAGTTTGATCTTGTGAACAATAATTTTATGAAAAATGGAAGAAGACACATACATACATTAAAGAATACTATGTAAATGTATGCTGACAAGTCATATATAAAGAGTAAGATCATTTCTAACAGTTTACCTTATACTCAAACTCGAAATGCAGTGAATGCCAATTGTCGTCAAATCAAATGTTATTTTATCTCCGACCCATTACACCAAACTCAAACCCAAAAGAGTATTCTACACTAATTTTTTTCTTATCACTCTTTCTACTTAAAAATGATATTGTAAGAAAAAAAGTGTGGCTTCAGAAAAATAAATAAGCTCTTACAAGAAAAATAAAAAAATTAAAATCAAGACAAACAAAAGGAAATATGAAGAAACACTGAAAGAAATTGACATAGATCCGATAATGAATTTTGCATATTTAGGATACGGAATGATCAGTGATACACGAATGAAAACTCACGAGGAGAAGGATATCCCTACAGTATATATGTGAGTTCTTCGACGTATTTCCTTACGATCTCCCCAGCTTGCCACCACCGAAGTAGATGGAATTTTCTATTGATATCATTCGAAGAACAGGACCTATCTCATTGTTGCCTTACCACATGGTACTTGCAGAGATGAAAGAGCCAAAAGCTCAACTCCAAGAGTTACTCGACAAGGGAATCATCAGGCCAAGTTTGTTTTTGTGGGGAGCACTAGTCCTCTTCGTTCGAAAGAAGGATGGTTCTATGGGACTCTGCATTGACTATGGGCAGCTGAATAAAGTTACTATAAAAAACCGCTATCCCCTGCCACAAATTGATGACTTGTTTGACTAGTTCAGAGGAGAAACCGTATTTTCTAAGATCGATTTTGATCTAGACACCATCAGATCCTGATTAAGAAATAAGATATTCTGAATACTACTTTTGGTACACATTTTCAACACTACGCAATCAACGTAATGCCGTTTGGGTTGACTAATGCCTCGGTAATATTCATGGATCCGATGAACATCATCTTCCATCCATACTTGGATCAGTTTGTTGTGTTTTTCGTTGATGACATTTTGGTGTATTCCAAGACACCAGAGGATCATGCAAAGCATCTACAGAAGTATTTGACGTGTTAAGGGAGCACAAGCTTTATGCCAAGTTTTCCAAGTGTGAATTTTGGCTCAATGAAGTCACATTTTTGAAACATGTGCCAATGAAGGTATCAAGGTAGATCTAGATCCAAGCAAACTTTCAGTCATCACAAAGTGGAAGACTCCAAGGAATGCATGAGTCACACAAGGCTCTTAACAACCACTTGACGTAATCACGTGTTAAGATTTTTACAACCCACTTGGTAGAGTTCCAATACCAAGATTTTTAACTAATGTTTGCCCATACAAACAAAATACTCCCTCCGTCCCCCTGTATTTGTCCACTTTCATTTTTACACACCATCCAATGTACTTCTTTAATCCATTTTATCTTGTAATTTGTATATTAAAAAATTATAGAAATTATATATTAATAATCTATATGTTAAGACAAATCAAACAAGATCACACATGACTATATTTAGGCTTACACATTGAGAGAATTTGATGAGTCAAAGTGCTTAGATGAACAGTTCCAAAAGTCAAATGTGGACAAATACAGAGGGACGGAGGGAGTAGGATTTTACCAAACAACTTAGCGTAGTCCCATCGCTAAGATATCCATGCACGAAGGATATACCAATAGAGTTTTGTACAACGGAAATGATCTCCTTGAGAGCATATTGCTGTCCGTTTACAAAACCTAATGGAGTATGGAAGAGATTTCTTTCTCGTAAACTTAAGCAAAGGATTTGTAGTATATTTTTCTTGGATTGAAGCAATCAATTTTCTCAACAAATGAACATAAACCTCTTGATCGAAATCAAGGAAGAAAATCAAAATATTTTCGTGACTATATAAGGGATTTTCCTGCAAGATCATTAGCATTGAAATGTTTGAAATGAAGGATATTTATTGCCTAGAGTTGGTTAAGAAAAATCTTATCCATTTCTCGAATTCTCGTGAAACATTCGGATGTTTAGAATGCAATATTTGAATGTTAGGCAGTTTTCAGCAGTTGCATTGTACAATATTTGAAAGGGGTGAGAGGGGCAGGGGGTGTGTTCGGGTCGCTGCATGGGTAGGGTTTATCGGAGGTTAGGTGGTCCAATTAAATGAATTTTTTAGACAAACAGAATATTACCCTGTATTGAATATGGACAACCAAGATTAAATCCACATGAGATCTAAGTACAAACTCATGTCAAATGGTCATCATATCATATGCAGTTGGGGCTTCAAAATCTATCGGGGAAGTACACACATTCTCTCTACAAAAAAAGCCCCTTTTCTCGAAACATTTCAAACCTAAGCAAAATCTATTAGTACAATAGTTTAATCTATGTAATGAAGAGATTGGTCTGACGATTGGCTTTTACAGGCAACCCGAAGTTCTGATACACCCTTATCTCTCCCCCAGAACTTGCCGTCACAATCACCATACCCCATGCCGCCGCCTGCACGGCGGCGCTACCACCTTGTTGGGTGGTGCCGCCGCTCTCTTCCGGCAGGTTCACGGAGGACGACGACCGAGACGGAGCAGGAGAAGCCATACTTTTGTCCAAAGGCTGATTAGAAGACGAATTTTCATCTCTATCATCATCTTCTTCTTGATCAGCTGGCTCTCCGGTGACGCCGCAATTCTTCTTAGGCAGGGGTGGTAAGGCACTCCTCTTGGTTGTAGGATGTGGTGGTGGAAGGGCGGCGGCAGCAGCGGTGGTTGGTTTTGAAAGGTGCATTTGCGGCGGCGGCGGCTCGTTCTTTGTCATTCTACCGGGCCATGAGATGGCGACGGAGACGTCTTTGCATGGGAAGTGCTCGTGAGCTTGGACCGTGACGCATCGCGGTTTCCCCCCCATGCTGCTTTTCACTTCTTCCCTCTTCCACACATAAACCTGTGAATCTTCGCTCGCGCTTATCACGTATTTCCCGTCTTGACTGAAGGATCCTGAGATTTGGCTGCTCGTGATTTTGAAACCTGTTGCAAATGATTAGAAATCCTCAGAAGATCAAAAGTGTGAGGCACATGTTCATTACGAAAGATGCATGTTTAGAATATATGTTCACTTCAAATGAACTCAATTATATCAAATTTAAATTATAACTAAATACACTTTTTCAGAATTTGCAGTCAATATTTCGAAACGTTGACATAAAAAGTCCGATTGGAAGATTTTTTCGGGACAGAGGGAGTATAAGTTTAGGGATGTTACATACCTTTAAATTTTAGGGTAAAGTTTGTTCCATCATGGATACGAATATAGGAGTCTGCAGAGGTGATGAGCAGTTCTGAAGGGTTTGATTTGGAAAACTGTAAAAAAAACGAAACCCAGTTTTCTGCAAGGTCACAAACACGCCCGCTACGCGCTCAGCTCGTTAGAGGAAGAAGGGGAAATAAAAGGACAATACCTCAAAACCAGTGATCTTCTTATTTTGGGATTTCTTCTTTTGATCAATATCAACTTGCTCTTCTTGTTCAAGTTTGCAATCTAAGGAATGATAAAGGTTGGAGAAATAAATTGCTTTTTCCATTAATGGTTTCCCAGACAGAATATGGTAAACACTTAAGCAGTACTCGATCTCTTACCAGTGATTCTATACAACCTGCAACTTCCTTTTTGTAGGCCAATTATCACACCCTTCCACATCAAAAACAATAAAAAATAAGAACTTGGCTAAACTCCACCGTTGGTCCTTCAACTTTATGAGTTGTGCACGATTGGTCCTTCAAAGTTTCAAAAGTCCATAGGTAGTCCTTCAACTTTATGAGTTATGCACGATTGGTCCTTCAAGTTTCAAAAGTCCTTCAAGAACTATTCATGGACTTTTGAAACTTGAAGGACCAATCATGCACAACTCATAAAGCTGAAGGACCAACGGTAGATTTTAGCCTAAGAACTTTTCCTTGATCATTATCATTACTTATTATTACTATTATTATTATTATTATTATTATTATTATTGTTATGATTATTATAATATTACCTCACCATCAGGGGTATAGGCAATGGCAGTGACCATATCTTTCTGGTCAGTCCAGTCGACAACTTTCCGGCCAGGTACATTCCATAACCGAACCTTGGCATCAAGTGAACCGCTCACAAAGTAGTCATCGTTTGCCGGATTGAATTGTATGCAAGTCACTGCATGCAAATTCGCAGTGCAAAATATACTCCACAAGTTACTTACAGTATCTAACATTTGGATGCATAAACGATTGTTGTCAATCGAGAGTACTTGATTAATGTCAATTTTAGCATCTCACCTACTCACTCACCATAATCATTGTGTGCAAACATTTTCAGGCAGCTCTGGTTTTCAATGTCCCATAGCCTAACCGTTTTGTCCATTGAAGACGAAAGGAGAAGCTGCACGGCCAACACAAGTAAAAATTGTCAAGGAACCAAAACCAACTTAGCCATTACCTCATCCCTCTCGCGTACGTGCAGGAGTGGTCGTTTCGAGCCTTACATGTGAAACTTTAATATTTTTTTTACAATTAGACGATGGTGAAAACTACATTGCGTAGTGAATCTATTGATATTATATGGGAAATTTACTTAAATAGTACTTAAGCATAATGACTTTCCCTAAATAGCATCATATGTGTTTTTTCCCAATGTAGCACTTTTAGTCATTATCCATTAGTCATTATTCAAGTAAATGTTCGCCATCACTGGACATTATTTCTCCTTGTGGACATTATTAAGTGCTATTTATGAAAAAAATAGTTTAAGTGCTATTTAGGGAAATGACTTAAGTTTTAGTTCTATTTAGTACAAATATTTCATATTATATTTATAACGATATTCAATACATTACTTCCGTAATTTGCAGTCGGAGTTTAAAAACATTTACCAGAAAAATCAAAATGGGAAGAAAAGATATGGGACGGAGAGAGTGCGGAATAATAATGTAAATACTCCACATCATATGAAGTACTTTTTATAAAATCTATTTACATAAAAATATAGATATTAATGGTTAAAGTCTAGCATTTTAGGAGGAAGGGAGTAGAATCTGACCTGAGATTTAGACCAAGACAAGTCTAGCACTTCATCTTGATGACCATTCAGAGTACAAACGGGCTTCTCAGAGAAGGCGAACACAGACTCCGGCATGCTCACATACTCCGGGATAACACTATCCCTCTTCTTAGTGGAAGCACTCTTTCCCTTTCCGGCGAGCAACGACGGGTGAAGAGGAGTGGCGGCTCCACCGCGTTCCTCCGGCGGCGGCGGTGGCCGAACAACCTCAACCTCCTGAGTTTCCCAAATGTGAATCACTCTATCCTCTCCGGCACTTGCCAAGAACCGGGCGTCATTGCTGAACTTAATGGTCCATATTGCACCGTCGTGCGCCTGGATTTCTTGGCACAGCTGCAAGCCCGTGAATTCCTTGTGGCTTTTCCCCTGTTGTTGGACTTTAATCCACTCCGACGAGTTCTTCTTTTGCTGCTTCTTCTCGTCCATATGATCTTTCTCGTTCATCACCTTAAAGCTCATTGAGTTTGCCACTCCCTTTATGTTCTTCATTAGAGCTACGCTCGTTTTCTTACTATACCTGAGTTATTTGTAAATTTTGTAGATTTTTATTGAAACCTTGCAAATGCACATTATTTTTTTAAAAAAAAAATTAGTGTAGGTGAGACCTCAATTCATGATTTCTAGACCAAACTGACTCAAGTGAAGAGAAAATGAGTACAAATTGATCAATGTTTATACATTTAACAAAATTAAATCATCTAACCATACCTGAAACTCTTGCTGATATATGAGTTCATGTTTACCATCTTATTGTCTCTTCTTCCCCTATGCATCAACTCTTTCACCAAACGGGAGTGCCCGACGTGCTTCTCGAATTCCTCCATCGTCAGTTGCTTCCCCGTCTGGAGATCGCTCAGCTTATTCCACATCCCGTTCTCGTTGCACTCCTTCACGATGAACTCTTTTCCAGTGTCCAAATTCTTTATCAAGAAGAAGGAACCAAAGCATTCGTCTGTCGTGCTCGCCTGGGCCCGCCGTCTGGTTTTCCACTTTTTCGGTTGCGCTGCCACAATCACCGGGCCGGCGGCGAGGTTGCTAATTCCGGCGGGTCGGTAGGTTTTCAATCCGGATGAGGTTCTTGTTAGGCGTTGTTTGGATACGGGGCCGATTAATTCTTCTTTCCTCCTTTTCGTTTCCGCGGAGGAGTATTCTATGTCCCCATCCGATCTTGACCGGACGAGGACAATGGGGACAAACTCTGCCGTTGTCCCCACCTCCCTTCCCTTCTCCTTCCCCTGGGGAGGGGGAGGGGGAGGAGGAGTATCATCTGAGGGGGGATTCGGAGTTTCTTGCCTCGGCATGTCTTTTTCGGGCTTATTGCTACCATTTTTGGACGAAGAAGCAGAAGGTTTGGGAGCCGGAATACGTGAGGGCTTTCTGGAAATGGCCCTGACGATTCGCGAGCTCGCCAAACCCATGCCTTGGAGAAGGCGCTTGCGGCGCTCCTTGATGTCGCCGGGGTCCGCCATCCACATTCTATAATCCTCTCCCATGATAGATTGTGGGGCCTCTTGATGATGATGATGATGATTATCATTCTCCTCCATCTCAAGGCATGTGGAGGAGAGGGAGAGCCGGCTATCCTCGAACTCATCGTCGTCTTCCTCTTCTGAATTAAATGTGGCCAAGTCGAGCGGAACAGCGCATGAAAGCCGGTCACGGGGATCAAAGAACTGATCGTCGTCTTCCTCCCCTCCCTCAAGCTCATCCCAGCTCAACTTTAACGTCCTCTTCCGCTCCATTCTTTGGGAAAATGTATGATGATCTGAACATTGGCTGGAGTAGAATGGACTAATTGCATCAAAATGCTCCTGCCAATTTCTTCTTCTTCATCTTCTTCCATGTGTTTGTTTTTTTTTTTTGTTTTTGGTTAATACTCAGAGAATTAACTGGCGGAGGAGAAGTTCTTGGATGGGAGAAAATTTAGGTAAAATGAAGTTTATTTCATGTACTACCAATGTAAATATTTGTTTGTGCCAATTGCCAAGCGTGTGGTTAGAAGTTTGAACTAACAGTCCGTTCCATTCAACTTACTTTTTCAAGTTATTGCTTATTATTTATTTAAAAAAAAAATTAGACAACATCAAATCTAATCAGATCCTTAGATTAGGTCAAACAAAAGTTTTAAATGTAACTACAATGAGATCAGATTGGATCTAACCAGATCAGATCAAATCAGATCTTCAAAAAATCAAATATCATGCAAACGGATCAACGCAACCTAAGGCGGTAAAATTAATTAGTAATTTTGTTCAATTCGTGATTCATATTTGAATATAGAGATTCAAATTTGAATATTTCAAATATACATGAAGCTAAAATAAATATAAGGGCCCTTGAAAATAAATTTCACTACAGTAACGAACAAAATGACAAGGTATTGTTTTTCGAGCTGATTCATTTGACATTGAGATCAATGTCATAGCATGACCCTTAGTAAAATTGATGGTTTCTAACCCCTACCTCTCCCAGCACCCCTGGCCCTTCCTCTCATTCGCTGACCCTTCTCTTCGCCAAGATTAGCTACAGCGACCACTGTAGCCAATCGGCGGCGATGGGGAAGGGGTGCAAGGAGACGCTGAGGTAAGAACCATCAATTTTATCGATGAAATCCTGAGGATGCTCCGGTCATGCTATGACATTCAAAGCGAATGTCACATGAACGGGAGCGGACTTTTTTTTCAAAAGTACTAAAGGCATAAACTATGAACTTATAGAAGTAAATTATAAACTGCTCTAAATTTTTCAAATGTGCAAAGAAACCAAAAATATTTTCATATCGTTCAAACGGTCTCCACAATCATTATTGTGTTCTCAATATTTTCATTTTAATAAAAAAACATGTGGTTGTTTCATAACAAATTTATCAAATGCTCCTCTTTGAGATTGAGTTAATTTATCAACCTTTTTTTCATATCTAGAGTCATGTTTTTTAAACATGATTAGTTAATTATCGAAAACAAAAAAACAATCAATAAAACCAAATATTCGAAACTAGAAGTGTAGAACAATACAACCTAATTTCCACCGCAATTGCTTCTATCTTCAAGCTTCTACAATCCAAAATTAATCTAGACAAAATTTTTAATGACAATCGATTAGTCAAAATTGGAGCAAGTGAAAAAATTAGAGCAGATGTTTAATACGGAGTAAATTACAAAAAGCCAAGTCTAGAAAATCAAAACTCAAATCACCTCTAGGACTTGTCGTCTTCCCAGCCGACAGCGGCGTTGCAGACAATTGGTGCGGCGGAAGCCGGTCGCACGGCTGAAGGAGTGAAGCCAGCAAACATGAAGGGCGTCGCCTCTTGGAGTGTTTGAGACTTTGAGCGAAGGATTGAAAGAAAACACTCACTAAGTTTTGTTTAGAATATATGCATTCCAAGGTATTTTTTGTGTTATACATTCAACATTGTTACTCTTATTTTGAAAATAAAAATATGAAACTCTTATCTTGATATTTTCTTTATTTTTTGTTTATAATTTAGTCTTTTTTTTCAAGATATAAATTAAATTAAAAATAATTTTGGTCAAATATCATAATTTGAAATAAAAAAAACTAAATGGACGGTGAGAGTAATAAACAAGAGGGAAAAGGGTTAAAGTTGGGGTTAACATTGAAAATATACTAAAATAGAAATTCCATATTTTTATTCGCAAAATAAGATTCAAAATGCATTTATATTAGAGTAAATTCCATAAAAGGTCCCCAGTTATAGGTCGTTTTACATATTTAGTCCCTACATATCAAATATTACTAATTTAGTTCCCAATTATTATATCCATTTCCACGAATGATCTTTTGTTAACATTTCCATTAAGAGCGTGGATAAAATTGTAAATTCACACTCCTTTCTCTCCTCAATTAGGCTTCCTTCCTCCTTTCGCACTCCTTTCCTAAACCCGTCGATGAGTTTGAAGTTTTTTGAACCGAAAACCGAAATCATCACTCTTCTCTCAATTGTTTGTCTAACTGGTGGAACCCAAATTCGAAACCAGTAACCTTCATGGATGAGTTTTAATGTTTATTTTCTTTGCAATTTCTTGAGACTAATCAATAAAACTCATCCAAAAAGCTTATTGGTTTTGATTTTAGGTTCCACTAGGAAGACTAATAATTGAGAGAGGAATGATCATTTCAGTTTTGGGTTTAGAGCTTCAAACTCAACGACGAGTTTGGGAAAGAGCACGAGAGGAGGGAAGAAGCTTAATTGAGGAGAGAGAGAAGTATGAATATACAATTTTATCCATGTTCTTAACAAAAATGTTAGCAAATGACCATTCGTGAAAAATGATATAATAATTGAGGACTAAATTAGTAATATTTGATATCTAGTAACTAAATATGTAAAACGACCTATAACTGGGGGTCTTTTATGGAATTTACTTTTTATATTACCCATCATACCATGTACATTACGTAAAATGCACATGTACATTGACACATTATCACAGTACGAACTCCTATTTAGAAAATAAACACATAAATCTCCTACTTTAATACTTTATGTTTTAGTTCTCTTTAAAGTGATTTTTTCTAAACCACAACTTTTTTTGAGAGGGATGGAGGATTTGTTTTATAGAAAAAAAAATTAAAATATGATCTTTTAAAAGGGACAATGATAAAGCGGGTGGGAGGACTTTTTTTATATAAAAAAAATTAAAATCTGATCCTTTTAAAAGGGACAATGATAGTATCATACCGAGTCTAGTTCTTGATCCTACACTAAATATTAAACACTAAAATTGACCAACAGACGAAATTGGTCTTTATGCTGTTCACTATATCATGCTTGTCCAATTTTTGCAGGTGAATGTAAAAACACAAAGCTAAAAGTGAAATAAGTATGAGTATATATTTCTTACTGGTCCCAATATTGGGTAACTCTTTTTTTTCTCTTTTTTTCGTTAATTTTATTTTTTCCATTTAAATACTCCGTACTATCTTTCCGTTATGCATTACGGTATTTGACATGAAAATGGTAAGAAATAACGGAGTAAAAAATAAAAATAACATATTCGAAAATTACATTAAAAAAGTGTACAAAACTAGGGTTGACCAAATGGGTCATCAAAATATACGAATAAAGTAAATAAAGTTTGATCTTATGAATAGTGAATAAAAAAAATAACTTTTGACGGAAAGATTAGAAAACACTTACTCCTTACATCTCGTATCCTCTTTCGTGTTTACTATTACAATCTCTCGATAAATTATGTTTTTCTGCATGTTTTCATTGATCATTTGATAAAATGAAACATTTTTGTCACCTCTTGTATTGTAGAAATCTTGATGCAGTAGCATGTGGCTCTTCTACATTTTCTGAACAAATTAGACTAAATTGCATAAATAGTTCCTAATTACAAGTAATTTTCTATATTTTGTCCCCAATTCTAAGATATTATATGCTAAATGATTCTCAATTTTTAAAAACTATTTTCATAAATAATCTTTTAGGCAAAATATAACAAAATATTTATTTCACAAATAGTTTCTGAAGGACCAATTATGAAATTATTTTTAAAACATGAGGACCATTTGTGTAATAGGGAGTATCTTAGAATTGGGGTAAAAAAGTAGAAAACCGCATGTAATTAAAGACTATATATAATATCTCCGTCTCTAAATATTTGTCCAGTTTTGATTATTTTGTGTCAATTATTTTCAAGCTTTAACTTATAATCAAGTATAATATACTATATTGTATATTAATATTTTAAAAATATTTTATACAACAAATCTAATAAAATTATTTTTTCATTAATATCTAATATCATTTTTATTTAATTTGGAGCCAAAATTTTTAATTTTGATAAAAACAATGTTAAAGTTAACAAAGTTAATTTAAACATTATTTGAACATTATTTGGAGTATTCTTCAACATTATTTGAACATTATGAAAGTCAAACAATTTCTACTGGCGTGTTTCGTACAGGCAAAATTACTCATCTCTCAATACGAGAGTTTTTTTTTTGTTTGTTTAGAACTACTCATATTTAACGGATTATTAGTGATTATCTAATGATTTCCCTGGGACACGACATCGGTTATAAATTTGTTAACCGACCAAATTCAAACATATAATTGCCCCTATGGGTCTTCTACACTCCATAGTCCATACTCTATATTAGAGCTAGGTTTCTAGGAGTATATATGGGTCAAGCTCTACATCACTTTTTACATCTTCCCACATAAAGTATATTTGTATGTACTTCCTTCGGTCTAAGAAAATACTCCACTATAATTCATTATTCAAAAATTATAAAAAATTTTATTTATTTATATTTATTTAATTAATTATTTGATAAAATATAATATTCGAATCATCTTTTGTTTTGAAAAATTTTTGACGTAGTTGCTTACATGGTCACAAAGTTTACATTTAAAATATGAATTTTCTCACATTTTTATGGGCTTGCATGTGAATATTTTCTTTTTTTTCAAAAGGCCCACTTCTTTTATAATACAAATGTATTAAGGTTCATAAAATGAGTATAAATCTTAGGTCTACAAAAAAATTTGTCATTTTTAAATATATAAATTCTATTTTTTATGAGTTTAAATCTACTCTTTTTTGGCTAATTTCATCTCTTTTATGCTAAATGGACAATTTGGCCCTCTAAAGATGGATTATTGCATCTAAAGTTCCTCTTTTGCTCTACGTATTTAAGGGCAAAATTGTCTATTCAATATAAATGATGCGAGTTTAGTAAAAGTGAGGGGGATTTAGCAACACTCTTTATTTACTTTCGAATCTCGAAATAAAATGAACGATTGATTTTTTTTATTTTACGTAACGTGACAAGCATTTTGGAAGGGAATGAGTATTTTTTACTAAATGAAGTACTCTGACCCGACCTGTATTTCATTATTTTCAGAATAAAATTTCCAGTTGTTTTTGGCAATTAATTAAGAAAATAGAAGTGTAAGATTGTGATTTATTGTAAAATACAGATAAATAATATATTTATTTTGGGACAATCCAAAAATAACATTGACATTTCTCACGTTCCTTTGGTTGTCCCACTTTTCTTCCTTAATTGACCCTTTTACTTTTATTCTCATTTAGAACTTGTTCTCTGCACTTGATATGAATGAATCTGATCTAATTGAAATAAGTTTTGATCTAATCTGGTTTGATCTGATCTGAATATTTTATATTTAAAGTTATTTCTGATCTGAACTAAACCAATTTCAATAAAAATAAGTTGAAGAGAACATGCTCTTACTCAATTACATCACCCCATACCTACCCATCCGCCGAACTTTCATTTATGTCCTTTAAAGTTCCAATATTCTCCCGATTTGTATATGTATGTTAGTATGTATGTGTGTGGGTGTGTGTGTGTGTGTGTGTGTGTGTGTGTGTGTGTATATATATATAGGGGGTGGTTCAAGTGAGAATGCACCTTAGTGAAAGAAATAAGAATAAAATCTAGCCTTTGGATCTGATGCATCGTGCGGCTCAGATTGCATCCTGCACTCAGATTTTGAGATAGTGCATTTTTAAAGGATTTTGGTGCATTTCGACATGATGCATTTTAAAACCATTTTGGTGCACCTAATTTTGATGCAATCTTGACCCTTAGATCTCACAATCTAAAGCACTAGATTCAATCTTATTTCTTTCATAAGATTGCATTCTTATTTGAACCAATATATATATATAGATTTTGGTTCAGGTGAGAATGTGATCTTATGAAAGAAATAAGAATGAATCTGGTGCTTTAGATTGTGAGATCTAAGGGCCAGGATTGCATCAAAATTAAGTGCACCAAAATGGTTTGAAAATGCATCATGTCGAAATGCACCAAAATCCTTTGAAAATGCACTATCTCAAAATCTCAGTGCAGGATGCAATCTGAGCCGCACGATGCATCAGATCCAAAGGTTAGATTTTATTCTTATTTCTTTCATCAAAGTGCATTCTCACTTGATCCAGCCCCATATATATATATATATATATATATATATATATATATATATATATATATATTATATATATGTATGTATGTATGTATCTATATATATATATATATATATATATATATATATATATATTGTAGAAATTGATAAGAGAGAAAATCTTTCTGTATATTCAATTGTTCTGTCTAATTACAAGGGGTTTCTCCTTTATTTATAGGAGAGGATGATTCCAAAAAAGACAAGGAATACAAATCCTACAAGGAAACAAATCAATAAACAAACTAGGAAACAAATAAATCAAGATCAAGGGGATTCGGTCACCACATGATTTTGGACTTCTCAAGTTCGAATTTCTCGGAATTTGGATCTCTCGGAATTCGGATTTCTCGGAAGTTGGACTTCTCTGGATCCGGACTTCTCCGGATC